CCAGGAAACGACTCACACTCCCGAACGGAGGGGCCCGAACGACTCACACCACGGGAACGACTCGGAAGGAACGACTCACACCACGAGGGGCCCGAACGAGGAGGGCCCGAACGACTCACACCAGGACGAGGGGCCCGAACGACTCACACCACGAGGAGCCCGAACGACTCACACCACAAGGAGGGGCCCGAACGACTCACACCAGGACGAGGGGCCCGAACGACTCACACCACGAGGAGCTCGAACGACTCACACACAAGGAGGGGCCCGAACGACTCACACCAGGACGAGGGGCCCGAACGACTCACACCACGAGGAGCCCGAACGACTCACACACAAGGAGGGGCCCGAACGACTCACACCAGGACGAGGGCCCGAACGACTCACACCACGAGGAGCCCGAACGACTCACACACACGGAGGGGCCCGAACGACCACACCAGGACGAGGGACCCGAACGACTCACACCACGAGGAGGAGGGGCCCGAACGACTCACACCAGGACGAGGGCCCGAACGACTCACGCCACGAGAAGCCCGAACGACTCACACACAAGGAGGGGTTTTCGGTGGTTCTCGTGAGTTTTCTGTGAGTCGTTCGGGTGGTTTTCTGTGAGTCGTTCGGGCCGTTCTCTTTGTGGTTTTTTTTTGTGAGTCTTTCAAGCCGTTTGTTCGTTTGCGCATGTTTCTGGGGGTTTTCTGTGGGTCGTTCGGGCCGTTCGTCATGGTGTGGGTCGTTCGGGCCCCTCCTTGTGTGTGAGTCGTTCGGGCTCCTCGTTGTGTGAAAAGTTCGGCCCCTCGTCCTGGTGTGAGTCGTTCGGGCCCCTCCTTGTGTGTGAGTCGTTCGGGCTCCTAGTGGTGTGAGTCGTTCGGGCTCCTCGTGGTGTGAGTCGTTCGGGCCCCTCGTCCTGGTGTGGGTCGTTCGGGTCCCTCCTTGTGTGTGAGTCGTTCGGGCCCCTCGTGGTGTGAGTCGTTCGGGTCCCTCGTCCTGGTGTGAGTCGTTCGGGCCCCTCCTTGTGTGTGAGTCGTTCGGGGTCCTCGTGGCGTGAGTCGTTCGGGCCTCTCGTCCTGGTGTGAGTCGTTCGGGCCCCTCCTTGTGTGCGAGTCGTTCGGGCTCCTCGTGGTGTGGGTCGTTCGGGCCCCTCGTCCTGGTGTGAGTCGTTCGGGCCCCTCCTTGTGTGTGAGTCGTTCGGGCTCCTCGTGGTGTGAGTCGTTCGGGCCCCTCGTCCTGGTGTGAGTCGTTCGGGCCCCTCCTCGTGTGTGAGTCGTTCGGGTTCCTCGTGGTGTGAGTCGTTCGGGCCCCTCGTCCTGGTGCGAGTCGTTCGGGCCCCTCCTTGTGTGTGAATCGTTCGGGCTCCTCGTGGTGTGGGTTTGCCTCCTGTGTCGGTGCGGGTCCCTCTTGTGTGTGTGAATCGTTCGGGACCCTCCTTGTGCGTGAATCGTTCGGGTCCCTCCTGTGTGGGTCGTTCGGGCCCCTCGTCCTGTTATCTCGCCTTTGCTGGTTCCTCCGATCTCGCCTTTGCTGGTGCCTGGTTTTCTTGTTTTTTTTCGGGTTCCTATCGGGTTTACTGATCGTGCTGGCTCTGGGGATTTCGCTATTGCTGGTTCCTGGAAGTCGTGACAAGGGATTCGGGTTCACAAGGGAGTGTGACAAAGGCTAGGGTCCACAAGGGCTTTGCCATCAGTGGGTCGAAGGGGTTACGATTCCCTAACGACTTTCCGTAGCCATCGTGGCCCAAGCCAAGTTGGCCCAAGCCATTCTCGGCCATTGCCCAGTGAGCTTATCTCCGCACGGACGCCCTTCTTTCCAACACCTGCGGGCGTGCGGCAGAGTTCACGGAGATGCCAGTCGTGGACTTACGCGAGGTTCACGCGCCCTTGCCTCGAGCGGCGCGAGACTTGCAGGGGGTGCTGATGGAAACGATGCCTACGGCTGGAGACGGCGCGTGCGCCATTCATTCATTCTGTGTGGGGCGAGTGGGAGTGGGGCGAGCTTGTCAAGCGCGACGCTCGCTCGTTTCTCCGCGAAGCATTCGGTCCCACCGCTGGCATCTTCAAATCGAGGCTGTCGTCCGAGGAGCTGCTGGGCGACATGGAATGGGCACTGTGGGATGTGATCCAACCCTTTTGCGAAGCAGTCGGACCCCTTCGGTGCTCCGCTGCACGCGGGAGACAACGAAGGTCAGCACGTGCGGCACTGCCTTCTGGAATCCTATTTCGACGTTGCTCAGCGCTGCGTTGAGGCATGCCAGGAATAACTGCAAGAGTTCGAAGTGCACAGGGAGCGCAAAACAAGGATGATGCAAGAGTTTGGTTCTCTCTGCGTCGAAGATTTTCATGATGTTTTCATAATGCCTTTGATGCGATCCCTGGGGTTGTTGGATAAGTACACGGCAGAAGCATCTGATGACTTCTGTGGAGGACGCCGCCTGAGCAAGTACGAGGCGTTGTTCGCGGGAACCGCTGGCGCTCGAGAGTGGCACAGAAGTGTCGTCGAAGATGCATGCCTCCAGAACTCATTCGATTTGTTTTTCAGTAAGATCCACGACGTGGTTGACGGCCTCGATTTCGACGGCGGCGTCGACCTGGGACCTATAACGGCTTTCGCAGAGTCTGTGGACAAGGCCGGGGAGTGTAACTACCAATCTGCCGGGCTGCCCGCAAACTTCTTCAACGCCGTCTACCCCGCCTACTTGGAAGCCATGACTACGCGCGCAGATTACTATCTCAGCGACATCGAACTGCTTGCGACGGCGCGTTGCAAGAGGCAGAATGCAGTCATATTCGCGAACTGCTCTGCGACGCACGAGTTGACGTACGCGCGTTCGCACGTCGGAGACCCGAGCCTTCCGGTGGTCGCCACGTCCCTTCGAGATGACGGCGGCCAGGGTGCTGTCCGAACACACTTCGAGCGGTTGCGAGTTTGCCCGCAGGAGCAGTTGCCTGGGCGGTGGAGAAGCCCGGGCGGCGATCGCTCCACTGAAGATGATGGGCACAGAGAGGCGAAGCGCCCGAAAACCCAGAGTGAAAGAGCCCCGGCACGTCCCTCTGCCGAAGAGAGAAGCCGCGGAGACGGGAACGATGGAGCGGCGGGGCAGACGACGCGGCAGGAGGATGGGAGTGCCCCGGCAAAGCGAGCAAGGACAGACGAGGAAGTCGAACGAGAGAAGCACGGCCGGAGTAATGAGTGCGCCCCGCTGCCGCCGCCGCCGCCTGGGGCGCGCGCTGGGCGGCGCGCGACCGGCGGAAAGTCTGGATTGCATCTGAAGGAGGCTTTCGAAATGCATAGTGGATGCGACGCCGGTTGCGACGACCGCGGCAATGCGGCGGAGAGCCAGGGCGCAGCCTCGGGAATGCCGGCTGTCGCCGCGACTGAAGGAGGCCAGTGCGTGGCGGACGTGCTCGATTTCTTGGGGTTTCAGTTCCCAGGCCGTGCAGGAACGCCAGCTGTCGAGGCAACTGACAGAGACAAAGGCATCGCTTTGGAGTCAAGCGAAGGCGCCGGCGAGGAATCTGGAAGCGAAGGGGGCGACGGCGTGGAGGAGCCATATTTTGCAGTTGGCGCCAACGCGGAGCAGGTCCGTGGAGCGCCCGTGGAAATGGACGTGATTGATGGCCGCTGCCGAGAACTCCGCAAACTCATGCGAGAACGGCCCGCGCTGCCGCTGCCAGCTGACGGCGCAGCCTTGACAGCTCCCGACTTGGAAACTGGAGTGAAGTTGCCTTTGTACTCGCGTCCTTTCCAGAACAACCAGAGCGGGCCTTGCCGTTTCCACGCGAGTGACCGGGCAGCCTTCTTGCACCATATTGCGGGGGGCGCCAGGGATCGCACGCATGCCAGTGTGATAAGTAAGATCTGCAACAACGATATTCGCTGGATGACGAACTTGGACTACGTATACGGGGCCATGGCCGTTGCCGAGCGGGAGCGGTGGCCAATGTTGGGGCTGTCGACAACTCGGCGATCCCTGAACCTGCTCGCGCTCCGGTACAACGACGAGACGACGAGATGTCTGGCCTGCTCCACATGCGGCCAACTTCGCACGACGCGCGCGGGGCACCCGCCAGTTGACCTGGAGTCGAGTTCCATCTCCCTCGCGTTTGGCAACGTCGAGATGAGATATTGGAAAGAGGCGGCTTTCCAGGGCGTTGAAAAGAACTTCCCTGGGACGCTGCTCAACAACTGCGGGTTCGATCTATGGCAGAAGCGGCACGTGGATCGGGGCCTCGAGTCAAGCAAGGCGCACCCGTGGAGAGGACAAAAGGTGTTAAGTGAACCGTTGAGCACCTGTGTTGAAAACCAGGAGCGCCACGTGTCGCGGTGGGCCGTCCAGTTCAGCTTCGAAGGCAGATCAGGGAATTTATTCGGGTGCACTGAGGACGTCCGATGCCTCGCGTGTCCCGACAGACAGTCGGACGATTGGGAAACGCCGCCGTTCTGCAGGAAATTATGCCCGCAGTGCGAGGTGCCAGTTTGCCGCGACTGCGCGGGGAAATTAAGGGACCACGAGGCGGCATCCTCGTTCCTCGACGGCGGGGCCATCCCTATGAGCATAGCGAACGACCATTACTACGGCCACGTGAGTCGATACATTGTGGAGAACGACGTCACGTGGCTGGAGTGCGCGGCGTGCTGCACCGCGTGGAGTACGATGTTGGTCTATTACCTGGAGGCCCCGCACGGCAACCTGATCGACGTCCCGCTCGGCAAACCGGAAGCCAGAACGCAGGTGAAGGTCAGGCCCCCGGAGACCAGGACACAGATAAACCAGGACACGGAAAACCAAGGAAACTACATCTTTTCCTACAGTGTCACGTTTTTCAGCACCCGTGCAAGTTTTGTTTGCTGCACTGCAGGGTTCGGGTTTGTGTCCGGGTTTAGAGGGGTCTCGCAGGTTTTTGAGGCCTGTGGAAAATTTGGTTTCGCGGGATGTTGGGTGTCCGGGTTTAGCGTGTCCGGGCCTACGGGGCCCTGAGAAGGGCAATCTCTTCAGCTTCTCCATGCCGTGGGACGACATCGAGAGATGTTGTCGCGAAGCCTGTCAGCACGCCGAGGAGATCCACGGGGGCCGGCTGAGGTTGGTGCAGGATGCTCTCGTTGTGCCACATTCGGAGGAAACGTTGGCGATGCTGGTGAACGTGCGCATCAAGGGGGGCAGCAAAGACCTGGCGCAGCACCTGACATGGCTCACGTTGCGCATTCCTGCAATGCAAAAGTTGATCGAGATCATGCGCGACAGCGGCTATCCAGGCTATGGCAACAACGGCCTGAACTCATTCGACAGAGTGGCAACCCGCCTCCACGAAAGGTACTCTCAGACATACGCATATAAATATGGGGAGGCGAAGTTCATCCCGCAGGCAGTGCAGGATGCGGTACAACAGCTAGACGGGGCCAAAGACACCATCGTTCAAGACAAAGTGGCGACGCCTCCAGAGCCGGCAAAACCGGTAGAGGATTTTGTCTCCGCGTTGAGCCCGTCCTATATCGTCGCTGAGCGGAGCGCCAGAGCCCAGTCGAACATCTCGGATAATTACAAGTCCGTGTTTGCAAGGTTCGGCGATGTCAACATCCAGAGCGGGACGGACCTGACCAACCAGCATGCCGCCTGGTACCTGGGCATGGCGTTTCCTTTCACGCTGCCGCGTGCTGTTGGCGGATACGACGTCCCGAACCAACCTCGTTGGCGTCGACCAGAGACGAGAGATCTCCCAACTCCTCGTGGGCTTCTGCACAGTTGGCTCGAACCGTCAGCGGGCGTAGCCCAGCGGAAACTACCGCACGCGCATTTTGCGATGGGGTCAGCGACCACTGTGAGGTTGTTTGACCTCACGCGCGGCTTGCCGCAGCGGATAGAGGGCCAGTTCCGACGCACTTGGGGCTTCGCGCCGGCTTTGTGGAATTTATATTTTCGAGAGCGTGTCAATCTCGGAGCATGCCTGAGCATCAAGCGAGGGGAACGGTTGCAAGGCCAAAGCGCCGAGAGCATGGAGACCGACGCTGCCATAGCCGCTGCGGATTTACTGCAGAAGCTCGTGAAGGGTTACTACACGTTACCCGATGGCAGACGCCGCAAGATCAACAATGATGCCAGTCAGCTGATTCCTCTCGCTTCGCGGGGTGCACGTCCGGAGCACGTACAGTCCAGCCGTTGTGGGGCTTTTTGGAAGCCTCCTGGGGGGTTCTTGGAAGCTTCTTGGAGGCTTCCTGTGGCGTTTTGGGGGTCTCCTGGGGGCCTCTTGGCGGCCTCTTGGGGGCGTCTTGGGCCGTCTTGGGCCGTCTTGGGGCGCTTTGGCGCAGTTTGGCCCCTTCGGGGGCCTTCTTGGGAGCCTCTCGCGGCCGCCTTCGGGCCCTCTTGGAATCCTCATTGGCCGTCTTGGGGGCCTCTTGGACCGTCTTGGGGGCCTCTTTGGGCTGACTCGGGGTTCCCTGGGGTTGTCTTGGGGCCACCTTGGGTGCTTCTTGGGTTGTCTTGGGACCATTTTGGAGGCTGCTTGGGCCGTCATGGGCTTCTGAAGAGCCGACAACACCGAGAACGCTGAAATCTTTGAAAAACTAACAGAAAAATCATGTTTTTGGCATCTGGAGGCCCTCTGGTGGGCTTTCTTCGGGCTCTCTTGGGCCATCTTGGGGGCGTTTTGGGCCCTCTTGGGGCCATCTTGGGCCGTCTTGCGGCCGTCTTGTCCCGTCTTGAGACCATCTTGAGCCGTCTTCACGCCGTCTTGGACCCTCAAGAGGCCCAAGGAGCCGAAATCATCGATTTTCCACAGGTTGTTATAGGTTTTGAGGCCCAGAAGGGGGCCACCACTTTTGGCGCGCCCGGAGGTCTGGCGAGGGGCGCGCGGGAGCGGCGCCGAGGGCGCCGCCCAATGAGTGGGTCGTCGTCGTTGCCGTCGCCGTCGCCGTCGCCGTCGCCGTCGCCGTCGCCGTCGCCGTCGCCGTCGTCGTCGTCGTCGTCGTCGTCGTCGTCGTCGGCGTCGCCGTCGCCGTCGCCGTCGCCGTCGCCGTCGCCGTCGCCGTCGCCGTCGCCGTCGCCGTCGGCGTCGGCATCGTCGGCGTCGTCGGCATCGTCGGCGTCGTCGTCGCGGGCGCTGGCGGTCAAACCTTTCGCGGGCGTCTGAACCTGATGCTCGTGCTCTTTTGGGGCCGTCGCCGAGGTTCGCGCCGAGGTTCGAGCCTCGAGGGTCGAGGTTCGTGGCCTTCTCTCCGTCGAGGGCTTCCCCGTCGCCGCGGCTGGACGCAGCTCGAAAAACTGACGACGACGACGCAGAGAACGACGGTTTCTTGGGGGCCTCTGCGGCCAAGTACTTCGTGTCAGGTGTATTTCTTTGCACTGGCCGGCTTGACAATGGATTCACCTATCCACCCGCACTCCCACGGAGCGATTACGACACGACGTACGCAAGATCGAGGGACCCACTGATAAGGAACCCCCAGATATTCCCGGGACCCTTCCGAACAATTCCACGGACGGAGTGCGCATCCCGAAGCTGCATCGGCTCAAAGAACCGAGGCCGCTTGCGGGCGTCCGTGTTGCCAGGGTGGCAATGCCTGATCCTGCTGATAACAAGGAGGCCCGCAAGAGGGCCAAACGCGCGAGCGATGAGAGAGTGATCAAGGAACGGCAAAAATGGCAAAAGCGGGAGCTTGACCCGGCTGAGCAGCGCCCTGGCGGAGGCCGCGCCACTCGCTGAGGCGGCAGGCGCCCAGATCGCGCCTGTCGCTGAGGCGAGTGCCGGAGACGAGGGGGGCGCCGCGGAGCGTCCCGCGGAGGCGGACGAGGGCGCCGCTGCCGCGGCGGCTGCCGGAGACGAGGGGGGCGCCGCGGAGCCTCCCGCGGAGGCGGACGAGGCCGCCGCTGCCGCGCGGCTGCCGCGCCCGAGCCCCGCGCCTGCGCCCCCTCTGAGGAGCGCGCCGGCCCCGCGGTGGCGGAGCCTCCGCTCGACGAGCGCGGCGGCGCGGCGGCGGCGGACCCCGCGCCCGCGGCGGTGGCCCCCGCAGCCGCCTTCGCCCCCGCGGCCGAGCCGCCGCCGGCGGCGCCTGCAGCGCCCGGGACGGCCGCGACGAACGCAGAGGAGCCGCACTGGACGGTGCTGCTCCTCCAGGCTTCCGCTCTCGCCCAGCGGGCCAAAAAGCTGCGCGACCAGGAGCGCGCCGCTCAGTTCTGGAGATGTCCGAAGGGTGGAAGCGTTGGATTGGGGCCCGTATGTTTCTTGCTGGGGGCAGTTTTGAGGCCGTTTTGGGGCCTCTTGGGGGCCTCTTGGGGCCTCTCGTGGGCGTCTTGGGGGCCTCTTGTGTCAATGATAATGATGTCGAGCTGCTTTTGGCCGCGAGCTGCAAGATCCGCTCGGTCGATCTTTATGAAATGAGGCGTATGCCTCGCACACACAGCTTGTGAAATCAGGGAAACCCCAGTCTGTGACTGGAACACATCTGATAACTTGTTATCGCTGCTGGCTCGAAAAGGGGATCCCCTGATATCGTTCGATAGCAAACGGCCGCGGAAACATAACGTGTTATGTTATCCTGTTTTAAAAACTCCACTTACCCCGGTCGGGGTACCAGTCTCTAAACTGCTGAGCTACTGCGTTTCGGCTGGGGCACAAAACTCGCTCATCTTCGCACAGAATATAAAATCTGCAGCTTCGAAACTGGAGATCAGCAGTCAAACACCGCCAATCTTAGATACAAACAACAGCATGCATGAATAACCTCACGCTGTAAAAGGCTATGCGCCGCCGTCTGCATATACAGAGCAAAACGAGTTTTGAACAACCTCTTAGTCCACCTTGAAATTCTCAAGAATCCGCTTCACCAAATCCGCTTTGATTCCTGAAACTGGCAACGCCATTTCACGCAGCATGCCCTGCAAAGCGTAGACCGGCATGGCCTCCAGCTTCTTCTTGACGTCCGGTGGGTTGTAGCTGTGCATGGCAATGAGGTCGTCTAACTTTTGCGCAGCAATACTCGGTGGTAGCTTCAGTCCGCTGCTTGGTACTGTACATGAAACCATCTCCTGTGAGCTGGCTGGACGTGAAACCGCAACGGCTGTAGGTACAGGCTCAGGTTTGTTAAACTTCTGTGAAATCGCAAACAAGAGTACACAAATCAAAGCCATAAATGCTGCACCGATTGAAATACCTGCTGCAAAAGTCCCTGCCGGTGATAGCACAAACTGAGACCACTGATCGAAAGGCTCGGCTAAAACATATGTTGAAACTTGTTGGCCGATCACTGGGTCCGTAGTTGCCACCACTGCGGTAGCTGCTGCTAGTTGAGGTAATGTCGTTCCCGATGAAAAGCTGCTTGCCAAAACGCTGGAAAACATAGCTGCACGCGCAAATCGAGAAAACTTGGTCGAAATAGCTGTACTCACTTCAGCCTGGTAGACCACTTCATGTACGTCAATCCTCGATATGTCGTCGTCCGCGCTGTGGTCCTTCGGCTTGGCGTAGTTCGCATTCAGGTAGTCAGCGTCCTCTTGAACCTCAACTCGCTGTGCCCGCTGGATCTCGTCCCACGGATCTGTCAGCTTCCGCTTCCTGAGTGAAGGTGCTCGGGGATCCGGTCCAAACGTCCACAAGTTCTCGTGAAAAACTCGGTCCTGGTAGGGTGTGTCCATCTTCTTCGTGAGTCCGTCGGCTAGCTGCTGCTCAGATCGCACCCACTTAATGCCACCATGCTGGCACTCCTGTCTGATGATCGCTGCTTCCAGCGAGAGACGTCGATCTGACAAGTGAACACGCTCCTTGACCACACAGTCCCACAGAGAACGGCAGTCCGTGACCAAAACACCTTTCCACTCTTCTGCTGCCTGACGGTACTCATGACCTAGCTTGTTGGCTGAGAAGATGTCGGCGCATACAGCACGTGTCCAGAACGTGACATCCTGAGCCTCAGAACAACTGTAGGCCTCCGCCGAAAGGGTACTCCGCACAGCACGTCCAATGCGTCCACTTGACCAGGCCAGTAACATACATGGATAGAGCTTGGTGTGGTCATCTGTCATAGCGCCATCTCCCACCATGATGTAAAACCCGCGCTGGCTCTTGTGGTTCGGCATGTTGTCGAAAGATGCGTCGTGCGATGCGATAATAACGGAGGTCTCGAAGTCGAAACCACCACGGAAGATCATCTGCGTCTTCCCCTCTCGTCGGATAGAACGCACAAGGCTATTCATGTCCTTCATGTCCTGCACCGTCGGCTTAGACATCTGGCCCGCGAGCCTCGATGCCTCGAAACTGTACTTATGAAGCAGCAACCGCACCACCCACTGAACTTGACCGTTCATACCACGTAGTGCGCGGTGCTCGGCTGCGGTGAGAAGCTCCTTCTCCTGCTTCGCCCTCTCCCGGGGCATGCGGTAGTCCGTCATCCCGTCGATGTACTCGTCCATGTCGATCGTGATGACGTAATCCTCGTCCTGCTTGAAGCGCCGGCCTGTGAAGGTAGCTCCCTCAGGTAGGCCCTGCAGTTCGTGCCAGTCGCCGAACTCGACCTGCTCCTTCAGCTGCTTGATGACCTGCTCGCAGAACTCTCGGTTCTTCTCCATGTCGAAAGCCATGAGCATGTCGTCGACGTGTAGGCAGAGAAGCCCCACCAGCTGCCCATTGTGCATGAGCTTGAAGGCTGCGGTCTCGAACTGCAGCTGCTCGAAGCCGATCTGCTTGAGGATCTGGACAATCCGCTTGTACCACGCCCTCGCCGCGTCGTTGGTACCGTAGATGCTCTTGTTGAGCTTGAGCAAGCTCCCGTCTTCTAGCCCTGGAATGCTCATGCCAGGCATGTTCTTGGGCAGTTTGAAGTACAACTCCCTCTCGATCTTGACGCCCTGCAGGAACGCCCCTGTGGCGTCACCTGTGAAGCACGAGAACCGCTTACACGCCGCGATGCTGCAGAGAAGGTTCTGCATGAATGGTGAGCATGTCGGTGAGTCTCGGCGTAGCTTCTCGTCGTACTTCTCTTGGAAGCCCTTGCCCACGATGCGGCACTTAGGCTGGAAGTTGGCATTGTCGTCGCTGCCCTTGTTTGTCCAAACTGCACGGCTCTCGATCTGCAGCGACTTGTCGATCTTCTTGGCCATCGTCGGTGTGATGGCCGTCACCGCGTCGTACTTTGTCCAAGTACTCCACTCCTTGATGAGTGCATTGAGACACTTCTCAGTGCGCTCCTTCGTGTAATTGTCGCTGCGCTTCAGCACCTCCTTAATGTCCATCTCGCCCTTGGTTGCCCGGTCGGCTCGTTCAGCTGCAAACGACTCGCACATCACCTGGTTGGTCGCGTAGGCTGTGCGCACCCTCTTGTCATTCGCCGTCGTCGCAGTATTGCGGCCAATGTGGGCCCGATTCTGGTAGATGGTCTGAGATGCCGGCGTCTTGCGCTTGAGCTTAGTGCGCCGTTGTTCGCCCTCCTCACGATGTGCTTGTTGTCTGGCTCGCTGTCGTTGTCGAGCACTGTCTCCATCAGAATCTGCCGTAGGACCTGCAGGCGTACTGCTGGTGGGTGCGCTGCTCGCTGCTGGAGGATCGGCCCTAGCCGGAGCCGGGTTGTCTGGTCCGAACGACTGAGGAGGTCCTTGAGGTTCGGCACCTTCTGGAAAACCTCCAGGAGCCTGTCCGCCCGATGGGTCATTCTCGGTCCGGTACGTGTACTCCACCACGACGTCGAGCATGTCCATATCGCGTACCAGAGGCACGTCGAACGGCACGTCCAGGTTGTTGCGCGCCAGGTCCTCCATCATCACCTTCGTGTTGTAGTTGAAGATCCGTCGTCGTAGCAACCTGTCTCGAGGAATGATTTCATTCTCGGGTACTGGTGTTGTCGTACATCGTGCAATCCTGGTCGCTAAGATGGCATCGTATGGTCCACGAGCCTGTGAGCCGATGATCATAGCCCACGACTCTGGGATACTCCACGATCCTTCAGGCCATTCAGCTTCCACTCGTCGCCGTTGTGCAGGAGGCTGTCCAGCCACGTCAGCATCACGACTTTGAACTCCGTCCATGTCTTGCTCCTGAACTGCTGCTGGAGGTACTGAATCTGGTGGCTGATCTGATGGCTGCTCTGGTGGCTGTCGTGGTTGTAGCCCAGGTTGTAGAGGCTCTCGTGGTGCTGTGAACGTGGTGTTCCGTAGGTCCACGAAACCGCGCTGCCCATGTGGAACTCCTTGCCATTCGCGCTGATCTCCAGGAATGCGATCCTCGATCTCGTTTAGCGTCGACCTCCGGAGGATGTTCGGCCCTGCCAGGATCGGGATGCCGTTGTGGATCAGCCAGTAGCCAAACTGGTCCTTCCCAATCACGCGCGCTGGTCCTTGCCATTTGCGATGTAGATCTCGCTTTCCTCCTCCCGTACGCCAGTAGTGAACCCACTCGCCGCGCTCAAAAGGTCCAGGCTGAGGTCGCGTCTTCGATAGCACCGCTCGTCGTAAGGCTGAGCTGTTGGCCGCTTGGTGAAACGCGACCTCACAAGCTTCTTGAAGCCGTAGGCGATGCCACATCAGAGATCCGTGTGAAACTTGTCCTGCTACCACAGGGTCGGTATTGATATCTCCAAGTGATGCCGGTAGTGAAGGATTCTCGCCAAGGACCCACTGGGCAGGAGAGAAGCCCTTGTTGTTCGAAAGGCGGTCCATGGTCTGAGCAATCTGGTATCCGGCGATCTTGGCGCTTTCGTCGTCCTTCACCTCGAGCTCACGAAAAACCTTAGTGGCCATCTCCTTGAAGAAACGAATCTTCCGTTCCACTTTACCATGTTGATGGTGCTCTTCTGGGGCAACTGGAATACATGGTACACCAAGATCCTCACACATAGCCTCAAAATCCAGACGAAAAGCTGCGTCTTGATCAATCTGAAACCGCTGTGGGGTCAGTAGTGCCCGCTGCCAGCCCTCCACGAATGCCGTCTTCGCATGACTGGAAGTCGGGCTCGGCTTGCGGTTACCACCGCTGATCATCCACTGGATGGCGGTGTAGTCGGTCGCCAGGTCCAGCATGAGCAGGTAGGCGTGCATGTTGCCGTTCAGGTCGGGCACGTAGGCGATGTCCATACCAAGGCACTGGTTGAACTTGGTCCACTTCGGCAGGCTGGCGATTGGATGAGCTGGCGGTCGCTGTTGAGAATCGCACAGCTCGCACTTGAATAGCTTCGCCGCTGAAGCCGCCGCCGGTGATCCTCCACCTGCTTGTATATGTCGTGCTAGGTCTTCGCCTCGTAGTGCATGCGAAAACTGAACGTGAAGCTTCTTGATCGCCGCCTTGAGTGCTGCTGGTACCTGCTGCCATTGTTGGTAGGTTTCAGCCGCTGAGCCCATGATGAGCCCTGAGCTTGACGTAAAACCTGTAGCGGGGTATGCGTCAGTGGCGTCGGGGATGCCCAGGATGATGTCACCACCCAGAAGCTTCTCCAACTCGTACTGCTGCTTCGTGCCTTCGAGGATCCTTTCCGCCAAGTCCGGGGTCCATACTGCGAACTCGCTGGATTTTCCTCCTCGACCTTGAACTTCTCCATGTTCGTGGTCACCTGTGCATCGTACTTCCAGTGCATATGCCAATGCCACTGCTGTCGTAACAAACCTCGTAGGCTTCTGCAGCAAATCTCCACGATCGTCTCGTAGTTCGAAAGCACATTGATCGCATCGAACCCAGGTCATCTCCTGAGGTAGCTCGTCCTTGATGAGCTTCCAGACCTGTGAGCACAGGGGGTTCTCCAGTAGTACGTGTCGTCCATGCTCCAGTCTGTGCTTGACGATCTGTAGTGCAAACCGCACGTGTGCGAGTGCCTTCGTGCGGCGCCGTCGCCGCTCCTTCTCCGGGTAGAAGTTGTTGATTGGCGAGAGCCCCTCGCACGGGAACGGCACGATAGTGAGGTACGGGTCCTCCTCCTCGATTTCTCGCATCGTAGCTGCCTGTACACTTGGTAGTAGCAAGTTGTCGCCCGTCGTCCGCAGGTCTTTGCACTTGCCCGTCTTGAGTCCACAGCTGGTTGCGAGCTTCGTGACGTTGCACTCTCCGCCATATATCTCCTTGACCACCGTCCCAGGTACAAACAGTCGGTACTGGTCTCTGCGTAGCACGCTCCA